ATTTTGCTATGAACTTCAAGAAATTCCGTTTTTTCTGCAAGGATTGTGTGGTATTTGATTGACCGTGACAGGAATCATTTAGAGAGTTTTCTTCACAACTCCAACAGTAGATTTGTGCAACATGCATGCTATCAACTTCGTGAGTATGTTCAGGCGCGTGTTGCAGTTTCTGATCCCTTGTATGAGATGATCAAGAAGGAAGAGTTTGAACGCCAATACAATTCCAAGTTTTTGGAGGCGATTTCTTGCTCTCGTGTTGTAGTTGAGCCTGTAAGTTCAGGGACGTATGAGCCATCATCGAAGCTGAACTTAAAGGTACTACAAGACATCCTGAAGGGTATCTTCAAGATCCAGAAGGATGAGGAGCTTGCCAAAGAACGTGATGAAGAAGAAGAACAGGCAGCTCAAAACATCTCAAACTTGTTGGCAGATGATATGGAGCTTGATTTTGATGATGATGATGTTTCAGTATGGCGCTCCATTGTCGACAAGTATAGAGGAGGTGATCAGGTGCTACAGGGAGAAGCTGTGAAGATTACTCACCTGTTCAGGGATCAAAAGGACAATGAGAAGGCGACAGAAGCTTTCAGTTCAGAGAGGACAGATTTTTATGAGACCTCAGGACCTCTTCCAAGATCCGAGGGAGAAAATCTTGTAGAGGACTTGCTCACCAAGGATGTTGCAGAACAAGCTTTTGAAGCAGGTGAAGAAGTTCCTCCTTATACAAGAGTCTCCACTATCGCTGGTGAAGTTTATACTGGAAGTAGAACACTTCTAGAAGATGAGAATATGGAAGAGGAAGTTCCTGAAGAAGATCCTGCAGTTGAACCTGGAAAGGAAGAAGAAATATTTGATGAGAATGCAGGTGTTTTTCCTTCAGAGGAACCAAAGATGGAAGTGGACCAGGAGGAAGCCAAGGAAGAGTCAACACCACACTTTCTGTCAAGAGAGATAGGTGAGGACTCGACTGCATCGTACTTACCATCAGGTGAGACGGATGCTAACCTTGATGATACTTCAGGTCAGCGGAAATCTAAGAAAAGCCGCCTGAATAAAATACCTGATCCTCATTTTCATGAAGAAGTTCAGGATGATGCAACCATGGAAGAGAAGAAAGAGGCGGTGGAGAAAATAAAAGAGGTCAGAGAGGATGATGGAGAGAAGAAATTGGAGGCTGAAATCCAGGAATCTTTTCCATCTGAAGTAGTTGTTGAAAAGGATACAACAAAAGTTGACAATACCTATGAGCTGCATACTTCACCTTTGAAGTTGCTTGGAGAGCTTACAGGAGATCCAGGTATTGGCTTTTATCAACTATGCTTCAGGGAAACTCATGCAAGATTGCTGAATCATGTTTGTTTCAGAAAAGGTGAGATTTCCCATCCTCATTATCAGTCGAGAATCAACGAGAATGATTTTGTTCGATCAATTCGTAATATCTGTCCAGTACCTCCACCTGATTGTTATGAACATGAACCAGAGCATGATTTGAAGAGATTCTTTATCAATGATGATCGCATCATTTATTTGGATGGCAAGTATCAGGTCGATCCAAAGGCCCTTGAAAGGGCAGGACATGCTCGAGAAGAATTGGAGGAGACGAAGAAGGAACTTAAGAAGGAACTGGAATCATATGGTCCCAAGGGACCCAGTTGGGACTTTGTCACCTTCTATGAAGAGCTGTGCAGAAGGTTCCTCAAGGGAAGAATAGAAGAACCATATGGAACTAACTTATTGGCCAGCTCAGAGTCCTTGACATTTCTATCCTGGAACTATGGCAACATGGTTCGTGGTCAGAAGTACACCACACCAAGGTTTCTCCAAGGACTTGATAGTGCAATGAGGCCACGCAAACAGAGCGCCATGTCACTTCAGAATGAGCAATTTGAGAACAACCTTTTCTTCAACATGCTCTTCTTTTTACGTGCACATGTCGTGATTCTCCAGGAAGCTCATCTTCTTGTTCCTGCCAAGGAATTTATTGAGCAAAAGAATTGGACAGTTTGTTTCAATGATTGGGAGAATCTTGCAGTGATGGCTAGATTGGCACCAGGTGGATATGTCAAGATCATTGCTGGACATGACCAAGATCTTGGTCACTGTGAACAGCGTGATGTAACTTGGGCTATCTACGAGATTTGTTTTGGAGAAACAAGGCCTCGTCAAGATTTCAAGGATGCAGACTTTGAATTTGATGACTATGGTCCTGAGGACAAGCGTGTTCCACTTACTCGAGCGAACATGCATACCATCAGAGTCTGTAATTATCATGTTGATACACACCGTGCTGTGGATGCCCACCTACTGACAGGAGAACAGACAGCATTGATGCTTTACGAGTGTTTTGTCTATGAGGTGGACATCATTTCTGGTGATGCAAATAGTTTGGCCTACAGAATGTCTGGGTACAAAAGGCAGCCAATGGCTAACTACTATTACAGCACCATGCAGCATTGGATCCGCAGGTTTTCAGAAGCTCGTGTAAAAGCAGATCCTGGTATCAAAGCACCTATTCCCAGAACATTTTACAGTTCAACTTCACAGGTCCTCAAGAAGTGTGAAGTTTACTTTGATAAACTCTGGGAAGAATATTCTACTGTTGAAAAAGAAGAATACCAAGGATCACAGCTTGGCGATACATGTTTGTCTACCATTGTTGAATGGGGTCATTCAATGAGTGAAGAGGAATATGAAAATTCCACAGTGAGCACGAAGGAGTTCATCTGTAATTTTTCAGAGAACTTTGCTATGATTGACACGGAGGTTATGTGCTCAAGGCCCACTGACGAGGACAGTCATGGTCCAATGTTTATTTCACTCAGACCAGCTTCCCTTTCATCTGGAGACAGAAGACAGTATCGCATGGGAGCAACTCTTCATGAGGCGAAACTGCGGAGGAAGGAGAAACAGAAAGAGAATAAAAGGAAAGGAAGGCTGCCAACTTCTGATCAAGCAACTTCATCGTTTGCAGCGGCATAATTCCTGAGCGAAGGCTGAAATTTAAATGATGGCTAGGAAGTGAAGATACTTCTGGTTACAGTTGATACTTTGCTTCCAGGCTTGACTTTAAGTTGCCAGGCTGAAGTTTTAATAAATTATGGTTTGCAATGAGGAGAAACTTTTATCAAAGAAGATACTCCTGCATTCCAGGTTTATACGCTTTAGCATGCAGATAGGTATGGACAGTTTTGCATAACTGATGATATCTATCACAGCCGCTCTTATGAAGTGACCTCTAATGGACAACCAGTCATGGTTGATGATTAAGTCATTTCATGATTTGCAATTGTAGTGCAAGATTTTTTTTTGTACATACATTTGCCGGTATCTCCTTCTTGTGTTTTTGATGTGAATGTGGAAGAGAGTCCTTTTGATGCAGTTTTATTTTGTCTGTGAATGAAAGCGGTCGAGACCACGTCACGAGAAGATTATTCCTCGGACCGTACGCTCCTTGCATTTTGCAAGGCATTTTAATTAATTGCATTTGTGCGGTCTTGAATTTTTAGTTTCTTCTTACGCGAGTGTCGTTTGATTCTTTTATAGGTCTCTGTAGAGAAAAAGCCGCTTTCCCTTTTAGTTTGATTTAGCTCAGGCCATAAAGAGCTAGTGAGCGCCGGTACATGGTATCTCCGCCTGCGAAAAGTACAGTCTCCAGCCGAGGTACATTATCGTTTTGATTTTGTACTTGAGGTGAGTCAGCTATTGCTCCCTCACTGTATTTAGTAGCTATGAGATTACCTTCTCTAAAGTGTGAAACACACTGGATTAGGTAAGTACATGGCACCGTAGTTTTCTTTTAAGTTGTCAGAGCTAGCTGGACTGTTTTAGCCTTGCAGTAGAAAAAGAGTATGCGACATACGCAATCAGCTAGGAGTGGACATGAATCTTGTGCCTGCTGAAAAGTAGAGCCTACCTGTACAGGGTTCCACTCCAACAGCCGATATAGTGTGTCCATGCTTGACTGCTTCAAGGCTCAAAGAGCAAGAGGATAAGACTCTGCGCATAAAAGACACTAGCGGTCTGCACCTCTACCGTGTACGCCCTAGTCACTCTTTCACCCCTTCCCCCCCTTCGAATTGATTTCTCAATACAACCCCCCCCCCCGGGGAATTGATTTTTCAATACTGACCCCCCCCTCCTAAATTAAATTCTCTCCTGGAGAACGTCTTCGTGAGCCTCTCATGATTTCAGGATAGTTGAAACCCTCTTGAACATTCAGAAAGAGTGCATATGAAATTCAAATCACGAAAGGTGTTCCCCGAGGGGATACATACCTAGAGTTTGTTTTGTGAAGCACGTCAATTCTCTCCTGGGGACCGTCTTCGTGAGCCTCTTATGGTTTCAGGATAGTTTAAATCCTGTGACGCTCCGATTTAATGCTCACCGATGATCTGAGCCATGGGGCAAGTTTGTTTTCCTAAGAATCTTTGTGAACATTTCGAGAGCATATGTTTGAACATTTAGAGTGCATATGAAATTATATTTACGGAAGGTCGCCTCTGAGGGGGTAAATCACCATGTCGAACATTGCATTTTTGTTCCTGCCTCTCACGTTCTCTTCTCTTCCCGCTGTCCTACCTTTCGTGTCTCCTTCCTCTCAAGTAGAATGGTCTTTTTGCCACTCTGCGGCGTCATGAATGCGCCCCAAATGTGGTCAACGGATACTTCGAAGTGAAGTTGTCCCAACAACCTCGGCCCACCATGGACTCCTGTTTCACAGCAGAATTGTTTGAAGAAGAGATTCTTTCTCTAGAGAAGAGACCTCCCTGCCACTGCCAGCCGTGCGCCAGCCACGGTCCGGGCGTAGTGGGGCGTAGTATGACAAGAATCCCACATCTAATATGCCGCTCTGAACATTCCCTATCATCCCCTCTCTAGAGACTTTGCCTTGGGAGATTGATTCTGGAGAAAGAGAGTCTATCATGTCCCCTGCAATTCACCATCAGTGCCTCAGTGCCGTGCTCAAGACACGTGGACGAAGCCTCAGCCCCACCGTGGAGGTGGGCCCCTTCGTGGTGGCCGCGCGACTGGATCGAGATGTGATTCAGAGTGACCAGGCGCGATTCGAATCGATCGGGTTGGGTGGAAAAGATCTCTTTTGGTGAGGACGGAGACTGTGCGGAGAATTCTTTTTGTTTTGGATGAACCTTTACAGAAGTGTCCTTTCATCACGGTTTCCTCTTTTGGCGGATTGGGGGAAGTGTTCATTTTCCCACCTCATGTCCCTCTTTGGAGGTCAATGTTCAGGTGTTTTAAGTCTAATTCTAATTCTGCTGTAATTGCTGTAATTTTAATTCTAATTCTAATCTATTTATTGTTTCTAATAGCAAACATTGCTCCTAGTAGTAAGGCCAGGAGCCCCTAGAAGCGTCCTTTGCTCCAAGGTTTTTGGAACCCAATGTTTGCATGTTCGCCCGTCCGTCACAAGCGAAGCTGACGAGTGCCAGTCGTCCGTGTCACGGACTTGTGCGAAGCTCGAGTGCGACGTTCCAAGCGACCCTTCAGACCCCCCAAAACACCATGGCATGGCTTCGTTTGGGGGGTGGTCTTTGGGTTCCAAAAGAGCTGGCAGGTCTGTCTTCCCTACGAAACCAGTGATCTGGCCACCCAAATCTCCGCCGCAGGTGAAGGTCGGCAGCATGGCCGACGCGTGCGGACCGACGGACCGACGGTGTGACCGTCCGCGACGGATGTCTACCCATGCTGGTGAATCATACCCCCCTGGCCCGACATGAAGTGGAACGCCTCTTTTTCAGGCCTGGGGGGTTGAAATATATTCATCATGATTCTACAGGATCGTAGAGGGTTTGCAGGGGTGACAAACCAAAGCTTCTAGAGTTTCGAGAGATGTCCCAGGTGAAGTGTTGGGCCGTTTTTTGGAGAAACCTGGTTTGGCCTCCTGATCTTGCGAAGAAACATGATGGTGCCCTCCTATGAAACTAAGGAGCACTCCAAGCACCATTATTGAATTGCAGCCACAGTGTGGGCTAATTGTGGCACTGCAAAGATATGTTTGCGTCCACCTTTCCCTCCCCTACACTGCCAGGTACTTGGCCAGCGGACTGGAAGGGGAAGACTATGAGCTCCCAGAAAGCGCTAAGCAGGCGTTCGAAACTTAGCAGACTGGTCCAGTAACCAACAAATGCGTCCAGGAGGGTCTCCATCCTTTGCGGGGACACAGTGGACACATCAGACATTTGGGTGATATTTCTCGACAGTCAAGGATTGCTGGGGAGATTTTCCACCAAAACAATCCAAAACACGACAAGAAGATCCACTTCCACATGAACACTTGGGTGAACAGTGAACACTTACTTAAGTCAATGTCCTTCACTTGAGTTGATCGGAATTTCTTAGGGTGCTCTGGATTTGCATTTCGTTGATTGAGGGCTGGCTTGCTTTGGAGGGAGCAATGGCACTGTTTGTATACTGTAAATCCATTCCACCCAGACTGTATGAATCCATCCTTTTGGGGTAATTATGTCTATTTTGCGGGCATCCGGTGTAATGTGAGGTTCAAGAGGAGAGGATATGACTCTGGCACTATTCAGCACTTCGTTCACGATCTGTGGTACATGTGCGCCTGCGTCCTACTAAAGGATCCTCTTTGACATTATTTGGTCAAAATGACCTGGGAGCCTCCAATCGACCCAGCTCCTTTGAGCAATCCTGGATCAAGGAAATTCCTTGAACTTCCACAAAAAGGACACACATAGATCCACATGGAAGTTCAATCTATATATCTGGATCTATAAATTTGGATCTATATATTTGGTCCATGAACTCAACCAACCCAGCTCGAGCTGAGCTTGGTGTGTCTAACTGTACATGCTCTGTTTGGGGGACACTCATCATTTCGGCGGACTGCACAGCCCAGGTGGACCGCTGAAAGTGCCTCCGTTCGAGCACCCAGGAGGAAGGAAAAGGGGTCCAATGGTGTGTGAGGTGGATGATCCCGGTAGTTTTAAACAAAGTAATCTAAGAACGTTAACTTAACATTAACATGTAAAAGGCTGTCTAGAATCCAGCTGGAAAAGCCTGTTCGTGAGAAAAGGAGGGAGCCAAGGTCAAGCCAAGCCCCTTCTTGCAGGCACTTGAGCTAGTCGCCCAAGCACCGAGGTTCCGCGTGTTGCTGTTGGTTCCAAATGTCGACGGAAGTGCCACTTCATCACACCTTGAGGTCCAGGACAGTGAAGAAGCAGACCCAGCTACTTGGCCCACAAGACCCACGATGCGAGACCCGCCGCGAGACCCGCGACGCGAGCACGCGGTCTTACTCCGAGCCGTGCTTGGAGGGCTCGGCCCAGGAAGAGACTTCACCAAGAGATTCGGATGGATCAACCAAACTGGAAGCTGAAACTTAGTTTATATGTTTACCCGATTCTAATTAAACCAACCTGGAAGGTTGGGAGATTTCAATTTGACTACAGTAGGTAAACCTGATTGACCCCGCCCCACTTTTTCAAGCCATGCTTTTTCCACCGCCCTCCTGTGCGCTCTCCTTTTCTCCCCCCCGCCCTCCGCACGTGGGCCGTGGCCGAGGACCAATTAATCAAGAAGGCGCAGCAGACGGTGGGGCCGGCGCCTAAGACGGGTTTCGGCTCCCGTGGCCGTCGGAGCCGGAGCGAGGTCGTTGCGAGGAACAGGAACGCGCGGAATCCGTGCATGCGAAGCTGCGAACCTGTTTGAGTTGGTTGTGTTTGGAGAGTTGGTTGTTAGAACATCCATTGGTACCCCATGCAGGTCCTCCAAGTTGGGGATTCCTCAAAACCAAACCCGACTCTTCACGAGGATCCGCATGGAGCCAGTCACCACACCCGGGCACCGGTGCCCGGTGCGATCTCTCCAGTCACGCCGCCCAGGACGCGTTGGGGATCCTCTCGCATGGAGCATGGCTCCATTCAGGCGGAGTCCAATTTCAGGAGTGACATGCGGTACCGAAGGGGGCAGGCATCGATTCTGAGTAGAGAAGACGAAAGGGCATCGAGGCGTCGTGGGCGATCGCGTCATGGACTGTGGATGGCAGGTGACGGTTGTTGAAGACACGTGGAGCATCGATGCTTGGGTTTTAGAGAGAGAGAGATGTTCATGATAAGTGGTGTACTTAGAGATGTGGAGATTTCGGGTTCACAACCTGGGACAGACCGAACCAGGTAGTACAGTAGTATTCGATGATGTTCGCAGTGAAAAGGTGGTGTGGGAATGCGTCAAAGACTCTTCGCGTTCAGGATCCGCAGGATCATGATCAGTTCTCTCTTAGACCATCTCTGCTCCATTCAGCACCTGCTTCACAAGAGCAAATCCCTTTCCAGCTCTTCATCTCTGCCATCAGGAGCACATGCCCTCATTCCAAAGAAGATGGCACATTAGCTGCTTGGGTAGGGCTCTCAGTTGGCAGCTGGTGGCTTCGCACATCTTTGCACCCCAAAGAAGCGGACATCTCTGAATCAAGTGGGCGAGATTTCAGTCCATTTGCGGAAGGGTTCAAATCGCCTAGAAAGATTAGAAAGGTCAGCAAGGTTTGCACGCGTGGCACGCGACTTCATAGTGGCTCTTCATTGCTTTTTCTTTGGGACTTGCAAGTTATCAGCCTGTTTGGCCGTCCAATCGGTTCCCCTGTTCTACTCGAGATTCGTGATGTCTCGTTTGCATACATCGCCTGCTGGGAAGAATGCCATCAAAGTGAGTAAACTGTTTTGGTGTCGAACAAAAGACAAGGCACTTGAGATATTAGCAAAGTGAGCGGCAACGTAGTGTGTGTACACATCACTACACACTTCGAACTTGGTTTTCAGTTAGACTCAATTGCCACGATGGGAAGGAAGGCGGTGGAACAGTATGGCGAAAAGTCGGAAGCAATTGTACGAATTGTAGGTGTTTTAACAAAGGCTGTTTCCCTTGACTGCGATGACC